TGAATAGAATTACATAACCTTTAGTAATTACTAAAAATAGGTGATACATTTGGTCAAAGACTGAAGCAATTGTTCTGAGGCATTTTTGAAATTTCCACAACACTACTATGAATGCAGATAAGATAATGAAATAAAGTGAAAAGATTAAGAAACAATTCTGTTCTAAGACATATATGCTTGAATTAGATCTAAAAATGAAGAGTACTAAGGTCTCTAGGAATAGACAATAATTGTACTAAACCAAAATCCTATGAAGCAAACATGTAGTAATATTTTAAATAAGAAACACAATTAACTGAATGGTATAAAAAACCTAGGTGTTATTTTGTGATAGAACTTTGGATACTATATAATTGGATTAAAAAATATTTCATCTCTAGAAAAAGTTGAGAATTTGGGAAGCAAATACTTTGTCCTGTCAACTTTGGAGAAACATAAATGTTGAAGCATATATATCCCACAGGTTGCCCAGCCCTGTAGTTACCTAGTAAGGAGAAATGGCTTTGGTATGGATTATCACAAAGAGTTCCAAATATCTCCAAGTTGTTACTTTGTGAATTCAAAATGCTAATCAACAAATAACTATACATATTCAGGATTAAGAAAATGTTTTAAAAGCAAGTTAATAACATATTTAAATACTAACTCTACTGAAAATAGTAAAAAGCTCTGAGAATTGAATAATGTGCTACATGGATGCAAAAATGAGTGATTCGTTATTTTTTTAATTCTTTTCCCTGGAATTATTTGAATTATAAACATTTTTTTTCTTTGCTGTACTGCTATCAGATAACTAAATACTTGAGGGTCCTTGATGCTATTTGAGCTTGGTTGTTTTCTTGCAAACATTTCATTACTTAGAGTAGGTAATATCAGTTCTAGTCCTAGGTAATTGGGTAATGAAACATCTTCAAGAAAACAACCAAGCTCAGAGAGAACCAAGAACCCCTCATTTCAACCCTGAGTTACTTATATTTTCTTTTATTAGAACTAAATAATTCCAAATAGAAACAAATTTGAAAAGAGCAAATCTGTCTGAGATGAAAGATTTGATCAAATGCATATTAGATCAATGTTCCACATTCTAATCTGATAGTTTCCTTTAATGTAGACCTTTCTGATGGTTCGTTTAAAAATCACTCTGTATTAATATTCCAAGAAAATAAACAAATACTTGTGGCTCACATAATGTTCCATATATTTAGACTATATTATGTTAATGCTAATTACTACCAGATAGCTCAAATATGGAATAAATAATGATCTCTAAGAAGTAATATGTGAAATCTTGGATTTCTAAATCCATTAATTTGTTAAGAATAAATATTTTTAAGAAATAAACAGGTTCCCACATCTAATGAATTTTTCCATTTGCAGTTGTTTGAAAATTTCAGAAACTTTTGACTTAATTCTGAGATTGATGTTTGTTATTCAGTGGATTTTCTCCCCATTTTTGTCAGCATTCTTTAGCTAACGTTTCATTAGATATTAACAGATTGCTAAATAATTTACTGCTTAGAAATAGCAAGAGCAGGTTCATGTGAAAAAGAAAAGTATATTTGCTGCAGGTCATGGAAGCAGAATATATAATAGAGTTCATACATTGATCTGCTTTATATGTAATCGTCATAAATGTTACTGTCACTTCTGGCACTGGTTTACTTGTGGCTAATTCTTAAAGCAATCATCCATTTTATATAGGCCAACCTAATAGCAAAGCATTTATTACAAAATCATTGGCTATGAAGATTGTTTTTAAATATAGAGTTAGAAAACATAATGTAGAGATTTTAAAGGGCAACTATTGAACATGTCATTGCTGATATGCACCAGAGCATTGTGCAGTCTTCAGGCACTCATTTATAATATATTAATGATGTTATTTCTTTTTTTTTCTTGGTTGAATTACAAAGATCTCTGAAGAGAAGGAGGGAGTGGCTGGGGAGCTGTGTGAGGGAGGCTGCCCAAACAAGCCAGCATCCTTACCACACACAAGCACGCTTGGAAATGGGGATTCCCTTTTGAGAAACGCCAGTTTCCCCCCCCCCCCACCAGGCTGTTCCCCTGCCTAGTCTTCTTCCTCTCCCTAGATCTGTCAAGGCAGAAATTTGACCCCGTACCTTCACACACAATGTCACCCTCTGCCTCCTGCTTTGCCTGGCTAGTCTCATGCACACCGCATACACACACATTTCAAGCTTGGAGACTTTTATCCACATCTGAGCTGGCAAGCTGCCAATCCTGCCTGGGCTTAGGGAGAAGAACCTCTCCTTCCTCTGTGGATAAAAAATCCCCAAACTTGGAATGGTGTGTGTGTGTGTGTGTGTGTATACACAAACACTTGGCTGCCAGCAGCGTTGAGTGAGCGGCAGTGAGCTGGCTGCACTGACCCAGCCATACTGACCCAGCCACATCCACCTAGTTGCACTGACCCGTCTGCAACCACCCAGCCACACCCACCTGGCCATTGTGAGTTACCATAGAGCCCTCTGGAGCTATGTTGAGAAATGGACTTTATTTGCTGAACTACTGGAAAAGGCCAATAAAATTTGAGACCAACTTGCAGCAAGGTTAGGCAGAAGGCAACATTTTTGTTGAAAGCCACATCAAATCCTCTTCAGCAATTTTGGCTCCCTCTTATCTGTGGGTGTCTCCAGCTAGTTTTGCCAGATCTAGTTGTTCCTGTAAAAAGCAGTGAGCAGCTTGCCCCTCTTGCACGAAGTCCAAGATATGAGGAACTGCAGATGCAGGAGCTCTGGAGGACAATGTGCAGGCATAGAAGCCATAATTTGCATGAAAAGGAGACATGCTGATGTAGGAATGTATTGCATTGTTGTGGGCAAATTCTACAAGTGACGTAAGCTAAATTTAATTATGTTGCTGATAAGAGACATAGCATCTTCCTATTTAGTTCAATAGATGCTCTTACAATATTTGATTCGATTCTCAGCTTCTCCATATGACTCTAGATGGTGAGAAGATGACAAATGAATGTTAATGTCTAATAAAGGAGAGAGGGCATTCCAAAACTTGGAGGTAAACTGAGATCTGCAATTTGAGATTACTTGCTTGTGTAGGCCAGCATACCTAAAAATATGGTCTAAAAAAGCTGTGCCATTTCCTGAGCTGAGGCCCTTGCACACAATGAAATGGATCGTCTTTGTAAACAAATTGTAAACAAACTCACCACTACAAGAATTTATTTATTTCCTTGAATTTATATAGCCACCCACCTTACTTGCAAGATTTTGAGTGGCTTACAAGTTAAAAAATCTTGTGTAAATAAAGCTACAACAATTTAAAACATTACATTAAAAAAATGCTGACATACTCCTATTATCAGGTGGAGGTCAGTAATAAAATCTATTGATAATGTATCCCAAGGTCACAAAGCAGAACTTGGGTTGCAGCAAGCAGCTGGCTTTCCATGGACAGATTTTACCTGTCATCCTATGACTGGATGAAACATAATCCCCGATAACTGCCCTTATTCTTAGGCACCCAAAGTCCCTAAGGACCAATGCTGGATTTTAAACGGTCTCCCATAACCGGCCGTTTATTGTCCTGACAGAGTCATAACAATTATTCCCCTTAAGGAAGGGGAAAATATAAACAACCATTGTGAACCAGTTACCCTTCTTCAGACATGAAAGATGATAGCTCATCCTGTGAGGCTTCCTGTAGGTCATTCATATGAGTCCTAGAATAAACAATTTATTGCTGTTGCTCTTTAATTTGAGCTAGCAAATTAACAGTTTGTCTCTCTACCCCCCAGCCTTTCAAACTGGCCTTCATCTCTTGATGGAGAGATAAAGTTTCTTAACAGCAGAATTATGACATTGAGAGTAGTATAAAGAAGGCACGGGGCATCTGGAAACTTGTTCTGGGAGATGTATAGGAGAAATATTAAAAATTAAAATGGGTGAAAAACTGTGCTCACCGGACCTGCCAAGGCAAGAGAGTCTGTGTTTTCTGTTGAGTTTCTGTGAGCAGTTTGGGCCTGGAACAGCTGCGATGTCCCTTCTAGACGGTGCCTCCATAGTTGGAAAGTCAACTTTACAATAAATAACTCTTTATGAAAATGCCATAATTCCCTTTGGCTGGCTGAAGCAACCTACAATAAAATACATATGGTGAGAAATTCAACATTCCCCACCCGCTGGAGGCAAAATGATCCAACCACCACATCGGATGCATTGGTTGGTGCCACAAATCGGGGTGGGCGGGGCAAAGTCTGGGTGCTTAAGAAGTGCCTGTGAAGTGAAACAACATTTAAACTCCTGAAATACTGCTTGCTATTGAGTAGAACATGTGAATTTTCATCCTTTTTTTAAAAGTGCAGTTGATGGCAATATGTGGTCTTCCAAATTAGGAATGAACTTCTGATAGAAATCAGTAAGTCCCAGAAAACTCTGGTCTCATCTATGAAATTGTCTATCATCTCTGAATCTGCAAGGGTAGAGTGTTGTATTTTCTGGCCTGAATCAAAATAAAGAGTAACAGGAATAATAAAATGTCCTTGCCTGCCTTGGACAATTTTGCAAATGTTTCATAATGGTCTGAGGGTCCCTTTTTTGGGGCTCTTGTAAAAAAAAGACCTGAAAGTTTCCCAAAACTAAGACTTTGGAGCAATTCAGGCAGATGTTTATTATATGGTCAGGTGAGAAACATTGATTTAAAAGTTGAAATACAAAACTATGATTTTTCAGCAGATGAAGGAACATAAGAAATATTATATGCTAAGTTCTTTTTAGTCTTATTTTGTTTTCATAGCTCTGCACATTTGTTAGGTGTTGTGTTTGCATATTGAACTATGGTAATTTCTGTTTTATGAAATCTTTGTATTTTCTCTCCACCACCTTTGCTTTTTGACTATGTGAGAAATAACTGAAATTGTGTTTATATATTTAGAACTGAATATTAAAAAGTTATGCAGTTGCACACCTATATGTGTACATAGCTCATCACTGTGTGTCTTATTTTCTTCTCTCTCTCTCCAGGTGACTCTGCCAAGGGCATTGATGATTGCTATACCTCTGGTGACCTGCTTTTTTTTGCTAGTAAATGTGAGCTATTTTGCAGCCATGACTTCTGTTGATTTTCTGACTTCGGGTACAGTTGCCATTACCTGGGGGTGAGCAATGCTAAACACTAAGGCCTTAGCAGCCTATTCAACTTAGGTGGCTACATCTTCTCTAGCATTTGTGCACTGTGCACTCAAAAAACACTTTCTCATCTCCAACAAGTGTCATAGCTTCAGCCTTGGAATACATTTAAAACAAATAACATTTATGTAAAAACCCTTTTGGGGGAGGAAAAGAAAGGGAAAGGAATTACTTAAGTATTGAAGTACAGATAATAATAATAATAATAATAATACTAGTAGTAGTAAAGTTGGAAGGGACCCTGGAGGTCATCTAGTCCAACCCCCTGCTCAGGCACGAAATCCTTCACCATTTCGTCCTCAATATATGACCACAGTTGAGCCCAAAATTTCTGTTGCTAAGTGAGACCTTTGTTAAGTGAGTTTTGCCCCAGCAAAACCTTTCTTGCCTTTCTTAAGTGAATCCCTGCAGCTGAGAAGTTAGTAACCCAGTTGACTTTGCTTGTCAGAAGGTTGCAAAAGATGATTACATGGCCTTGGGACATGGCAAAAGTCATAAACGTGAACCAATTGCCAATTAGCTGAATTTTGATCTCATGATCATGGGGATGCTGTAAAGATCGTAACTGTGAAAATGGTCATAAGTCATTTTTTTCAGTGCCATTATAACTTTGAACTGTCACTAAATGAACTACCTATAAGGACTACCTATAACAATGGTTACTTCAGTCATATTGTCTGAATGGGACATGGAGATTGAGAAAAATCCTTGGTATAACCAATTTCTCCTCTCCGTTTATGACTTAATCTCATTCTAAGTGGCACTGTTTTGTAAGCTGTTAGTTTGTCGGCCTGGTTTAGTGATTGATTTATCTTATGATCCTCTGTGTCTGTGTTCCACTAATGCATTACTCCCTTATTATTTTACTTCAGTTATCAGCAATCAGCTCTCTGTGTTCAGAAAGGCACATCATTATTGCTTATGAATAGTCTGTTCTGTTTACACAACACTGTGCCCTTCTTCTGAAATTTGGCATGATTGTATTGAATTTTAAACAATTAATAATCAGTGTTTACATTTGAATATAGTCACGCCAAATTTCAGAAATGTCTGCTTCAAAAAAATATTTGAACACATCATTAATTAGAAATCCTCTACCTTAAATATTGCAACCTCTTCTTGGCCAGTATTCTCCCTGCTGGCCAGGTGATCCTCATCCCTTTCCCCCAGTCTTTCACCTGTGCCAAACACAGGTAAACCGAAACAATTAACTCTCCCCCCCCAACCCCAATAAAGCCACCAAGAAGAATGAGACAAATGATAGAAGAATCCCGCAATTCTACATCAGGTGTTAATGTTGCATGGGTCCTCTCTAGGGGAAAAATATGATTAGTCAGAGCTCTGGAATATTATTGGAAAACTCTAAAGAGTCATTCAATCTCACTACATTCCACTCTTCATTTTATGAGATTTATTACCATATTATTAAAACCAGAGAAAAACCCTACCAGCTGTGCAAGTAATGGACCAGTATCAATGCCTAATTTAGATGAAAAGATATTAACTATGACATTGGAAAAAAAATTATTGTACAAACATAGTGTCATCTCTCATTTATCCAACTCACTTTATCCAATTCAGTCAGGATTAATATAAACAAACAGACAGACTGGCATCTATAATATTCATTAGTGGTGTACATTTTGGAAAGAGCTACAGACAATTGGACTCATCTGTTTTAATTTTGCTGGATATTTGGTAAGATATTAAATTTCTGGGTTAAGAATTTTAAAAAGATTTAGATTTGGTTTTCTAACGATAGGGGAATGTGAGATCAAGAACTCATCAGGAAATGCAGTAATATTACAAGTAGTAATTCTTCCTTATCTAAGGACAAGCACAGCAGACTTTTTTTTAGTCATTTTTTTTTCCTTTTTCAGGGAAGAATTTAATTTTACATAAGGTAGAATTTGTTTGACAGTCAGATCTTTTGCTGTTGGGTCTCAGTTTGATGGTCTGACACACATAACAGTTTGCAACAGCAATCTTGCATGCTGTTTACTCCTGAAGAGTGAAAAAAACCAAGCAATTATAGATTCAGCTGAGAGCTAGAACATATACAGATAATCCTTGACTTACAACAGTTTATTTAGTAACCATTTGAAGTTACAACGGCACTGAAAAAAAGTGACATGACCATTTTTCACACTTATGACTGCTGCAACATTCCCATGGTCATGTAATTTATATTCAGCTGTTTGACAACTGATTCATATTTATGACAGTTGGAGTATCCCAGGGTCATGCGGTCACCTTTTGTGACCTTCTGACAAGCAAAGTCGATGCGGAATCCAGATTCATTACCAACTGTGTTACTAATGTAACAACTGCAGTTATTCACTTAACAAATGTGGCAAAGTGTGTCATAAAATGGGGCAAAACTCACTTAACAAATTTTTCACTTATCAACATAAATTCTGGCCTCAAATGTGGTTGTAAGTCGAGGACTACCTGTATATACTATGTCTAATGAATTAATGTAGAGCTTTCAAACCTGCAAAAACCTGAGCTGCAAAAATCCCAGGGATTTACTAAATGTCATTAAAGGCAGCAAGATAATTCTCTTGGCTACTAGTGGTCTTTTTTCTTTATGCAGTCGAGATTTGATAGTCCTTGTTAATGAAACCATATAAATCCTTTTGTTCTGAGGCAAGGATATCCTTTTTGAAATCTTCCCTTCCAAATCTTGATTGGATTGATGGGAGTTATACCTCAAAATAATTTAGAGGGCATGTATTTCACTCTTGCACTTCAAGCAGTGTTTTAATTATGCTCTTCTATCCTCTTAAATATGTCTTCCAAAGAGTGGCATAACCACCATTTCTGGTTAACTGTAAAACCAATTTTTTTACTATACTTTAAAATTTAAGTTAGTATTTATTGAAAGTACCACTGATTTGGAATACGGAGACCTACAGTATGGAAAAGCCATACAATTTGATTCAAAAGTGATGAAGAACAGAGTCACCTGGCACGCAGATTTCTTTCAACCAAGGTACTGTATTATGAACATCAAGTCAAAATATAAACGTACAAGGTGAAATCCGAGCTTGAGTTGAGGTCATCTTGGTCCTTAACCAACACCCTAGCCTAGCCAATCCACTATGGCTCCTTTTTGGTAACATTTTGTTTATTTCCCTCTAAAGAAATAAAGTCCTGGGCAACTGGGTATGGCTGATGTCATTGGCAGTTGCTCTTTCTTGCTTTGGATCAGTTAATGGAACGTTCTTTTGTGGAAGCCGGGTATGCTACATTGCAGCAAGAGAAGGCCATATGGTAAGGAATGTGAACATATTGCTTTTTCCATTATATTCATAGATGTATTATTTAGTCAATCATTTTCATGTTAGAATCTTTTACTGTTATTTCATGCCCCCCTTGGCTCCTTTGTGGATTTGTAAGGCTGTCTTCTAGTCAGCAGTTGCATATGGTTAGGGGTATGTAACCCAAAGGACAATATATAAATAAAATAAAATGCATTAATGAACTGGCAGGATGGGAAAATGAAAGACACATTGCTTCACATGCCATACATTGCTTATATAACCTACGTTCTCTATCAAAGTTTGACACTTTTAATTACCTGTAGTTCAGTTGAGCCAATCTGAAAATTTAAATTCTGTAATTTGATCCAACTAAATCTAATGGACCTGAACTCATTTAAAACTAAGACTGTTTGCTTAGCCGTCAGCTATATTGGGCTATTGGATTTTTGGAAATATATAAAATTGAATCCAGATTTAGGATGTAATCCTATACCAGGGGTAGGCAACCCAAAACACTCAAAGAGCCACTTGGACCCGTTTCCCACCAAAAACAAAACACTGGGAGCCGCAAAACCCTTTTGATATCTAAAATGAAGATAACACTGCATATATCCTTTTTTACCTTTATTATAGGGGTGTGTGTGTGTGTGTGTGTTTGTGTGTGTCTATACACACATTAAAAATAAAAGTAAAAATATCACTCTTGGGAATATCCATACTATTAAAACAATGATCACCAAGAGAATGCTTTAAGAGAATAAAATTACATACACACAGAGGTAAAAAAAGGATATATGCAGTGTTATCTTCATTTTAGATGTCAAAAGGGTCTCTCTCTCTCTCTGTCTCTCTCCCTCCCTCCCTCTCTATCTGCCGTTGGTCTGCCACTCCTCTTCCCCCCCTCTCTCTCCCCCTCCCTCTCTCTTTCTCCCCCCCTCCCTCTTTGTCTCTCACTCTTTCACACACACACACACACACACACACACACACACACACACACATACACCCCTCCTATCTGCTGCTCACCTGGCAAGCTTCAAGCTGTTGTCCAACAAGCTCAGGGGTAAGCAACCTCCTCTCTTTTATGACTCATGGACTTCAACTCCCAGAATTCCTGAGTCAGCCTAGCTGGGCTAGCTAGCTCTCTCCTGCCCTTCCTGCTTCCTGCAGAGATGCAGCAAAGGGAGGAGCTCCGCCCAGTAAGCTTTTCAGCTCCTCGGAGAACACTGTGAGTGCACTCTCTTTTACACACACACACACACACACACAAACACACACACAGAGAGAGAAAGAGAGAGAGAGAGAGAAAAGCAGGGAAGCGCAATTGCCCCTCTCTGTCTCTGTCTCTCTCTGCAAAGGCCGAGGAGGCTGGAAGCCACAGGGGAAGGCTCAAAGAGCCGCATGCGGCTCCGGAGCCACAGGTTGCCGACCTGTGTCCTATACTTATGTATACAGAAGTAAATCCAATTAAACTATTTTTGAGCAGGGATGGGCATCGGTGTATAAATTAATTGTATGTAAAACTTATTGGAATTAATGGAGCAAAGTAGTTACTAGTTATCTTTTATCTTAATGGGAATTAAGAACAATATATTTACTTTGGCTCTAATGTCTTGAGTTTTAATCTGTATACAGATAACAGTAAAGAATCAATGAAAAACAAGTGAGGCTTCTGGGAATTCATTGTAACTTTTTGATCACAATCCTGTACTCCTCTCTTGTCCAATGAAAAATGGATATTAATTTTTATCAACAGAAGCAACACATCCAATTCTTCTATATGTAAATAGCATGCTTTACCCTCTTACACAAGACTGTAGCAGAAATGCAATTGCAATTATTACTAAATTCAGTTGTGAATAAATGTTATAGTACTGAGCTATAAATCAATTAATTTGTGATCCATGGCCATGTTTATCAATCTGCTGAGTATTCTCCTCCTCCTTTCTCTACTCCAGAGTAGCTCATAAAATTTTAGCTCTGGAGTCCAACAGCTGGCTCAGAACACTGAAAAGAACTATGGTATGGAGGTGTCAGCTTAGGCCTGATTGATTTATATTCTGCCAGAAGAGCTGTGAATTTTGAACTTCCTAACAATACAGGAATTAAGTACTCAGCAAGTAACTTGAGCCTGCTGCAGAGGAAAGCAGAAGGGTATTCTGTCCTGAATACAACTGATATTTCCCTAAAAAACAGTAGGCTCCAATTCAAGTTCTAGAGAAACAATGTTTTAGAGAAATTAACATGCAAGAAATAGGTTTGGTGGGCTGCTGGCAGAGAGACCATTGAAGCTGCGAAATTCCAAATGACATGAGTGCCATACAACAGAACTTACTGTTGCTCATGAGGTTTCAAATTATTTCTCATAGCATAACTACCAAGTTTGCTGTTCATTTATTTACTCATTAAAACTCTGGAGAGCTGGACAGAAGCAAGGAACAAAGCAAACCTCTCAGCATAGTTAGTTATGGTCTTTTGTTTTCATGTCTCCATTTTCAGCCCGACTTTCTATCTATGGTTCATATACGTTATTTTACACCTTTTCCTGCTCTCATATTTACTTCTGTGGTGTCCATAATAATGGTAATACCTGCAAGTTTCAACAAGATAGTGAACCTTTTCAGGTGGGTATTTCTCGCTACTCATAATTACTTGATGAAATTGATCTCTCGGCATCTTTTTGATTATTTTTATATATTAAGGTGATATTGCCTAGACTTCAGAGAGAGGAAGGGGGTGCGGTATTATTTAGTTATTCGTGTTACTTTATTATTTCTTTTATACAAACTTTTCCATCCTGCTTGCCATGCAATACATCTGCAGTAATGTAATGTGGTGACCAAAACTGGATGAAGTATTCCACGTGTGGTTTTATCAAGGATTTATAAAACAGTACTAATACTTCACTTGATGTTGATTCTATGCCTCTGTTTATACAACCGAGGTTTGTATTAGCTTTTTTGGATGCTGCTGCACACTGCTGGCTCATGTTTAAGTGATCGTCCACTAGGATTCCAACGTCCCTCTCACAGTTACTGTTTTTGAGCCAGGTCTCACCTAATCTGTACTTGTACATTTGGTTTTTCCTGCCTAGGTGTAAAACCTTGCTTTTCTCCACATTAAATTTCATGTTGTTGGATGGGGCCCTTTGTTCAAGTCTGTCAAGATCTTTTTGGATCCTGAGACTAAATTAGTAATGCTATGGATATAGTATACTTAGACTTCAACAAGGCATTGAACAAAGTACATCACAATCTACTTCTTGGTAAACTAGAAAAATGTGGGATAGACAGCATCACCACCAGATGGATTTGTAACTGGCTGACAAACTATACCCAATGAATAGTCCTTAATAATACTACATCTACATGGAAGGAAGGAAGCAGTGAGGTACCACAAAATTCTGTCTTAGACACAGTACTCTTCAATATCTTCATAAATGACTTAGATGAGGGAATAGAAGGGGAACTAATTAAATATGCAGATGACAATAAGCTGGCAGGAATAGCCAACACCCCAGAAGACAAGCTCAGGATCCAAAAAGATCTTGACAGATTTGAACAATGGGCCCTATCCAACAACATTAAGCCATGCAATTGCCAGTTCATGTGTCACATGGCTATGTTTTTTCCTATCTAAGAGTAGCTGTTTCATTTGTATTTCTTTGTAGCTCTTGTATCATTAAAAGGTGTCCTTTATTGCTGCAGCCATTTGTGCCTTGTGACTATAATTATTTTTTAAAATATCCCAGGCTATGTAGCTGCCACTCCCATGCAATTCTCTCCAGGATAACCAAATACCAATTTCCCAGAAAGGAAAACATTTACTTACTGGATCTTCATTTTATCATGTTTCAGAGTCTTACTTGTAGGGTTTACTTTCCCAGTTCAGGTATAAAAGAAAAGCAGAGTATGGATATCAAATCTCCTGACTTAGGCAAAGAAATTCCAAACCTCCAGACAATTCATTGCTTAGTTCTGTACCTCAGCTTGGCTGAAAATTCTCAGAAGTGGCTCAGTTAGATTAGCATCTCCACTGGTAACAAGAATGAATTCCTGGACAACAACTGATTGCCCATTCCAGAACAAAGGTAGAAGAAACATATTGCCCAGAAGTAAGCAATGACATTCAAAATAAGTGCAAAACTATTATGGATACTGTGACATCACTGCACACACTGCAAATGTCACAAATTTATTTATTTATTCAATTTCTATAGCTGCCCATCTCAGTCAATGACTCTGGGTAGCTTACAATTATGTTATTTGTGTTGTTTGCATGACCCTATTCGCCTCCCTTTATGGGATGCCTATAAATTAGGCTCCTAGCTCAAAATAGAGATAATAATGAACTGTACTTCAACATCTATGGTTAATTGAAGATATATTGTCAAACTGTGGAAAGTGAACGAGATCTTTATTACAGTGTTAGGTATATTTTTCTGATATTTAATTAGTATTTATATGTGTGTGTGGGGGGGTATCTGGGTGTGCATTTTTTAATAGCAGCAGAAATTGCGTGATCACACATGGAATGGCTGCCACTAAATGTTACTTTATATAGCTTTACAACTTGGATTTTCAACGGGATAAGTGTTGCAAGTCTCCTGTATTTAAAGATTAAGAAACCAGAACTCCCAAGATCTTACAAGGTTAGTACTGTATAAAAAACACTAAAATTCTTTTTTTTTTCCCTTTTCCCTTTTTTTCTTTAGTCACACAGGTCATAATGGTCCTAATCTGAATGTCCTAACCTGAATTTGCTCCCCCCCCCATCTGGCATCCTCTAGATCAGGGCTTTTCAACCTTTTCACCCATTGTACCACTTTTAGGATATGGCAACATCCGAGTATCACCAGTCGCCTAGCAAGGTGTCAAAAAATGACCAAAAGAAAAAAAGTGATGAAGTACAGGTAGTCTTCAACTTACAACAGTTCACTTAGTGAATGTTTGAAGTTACAATGGCACTGAAAAAGTGCCCCCTAAGCCACAGCCGAGCAAGATACCTGCCTGCCCACCTGGCGACGCTCTTCCTCCTGTCCAAGGTTTTCATTGTTGTGAGCATTTCTGTTGAGGATTGGCAGTGGAGGTGGGGAGGGGGGTGTTTGCTTTTTATTCTCCCCATCTGCTGGGTAGTTGCAGCAGGTTTTGGTCACTTCACATGACCCTGGGACACTGTGACCGTCATAAATATGAATCAGTTCCCAAGCATCTGAATGTAAATCACAAGACCCTGGAGATGCCGCAACATTCCAGATGATTGGTGCTTCTTCAGGGCTCAGCAGAAGCACCAGGATCACTGCCAAGCTTCAGCTGGAGCCTGGCGCTGATCATGGCGCTTCCGCTGAGCCCTGACAGCCCTGCAGCTCCAGCCATCTCTCGCTCAGGCTTGTGTGGTGCTGCCACCGGTTCAGCTCATTCCCCTCCCCCACTACCACTTTTCTAGGATGGTCGCATACCACCTGCCAAGTGCCAATGTACTACAGGTGGTACCCGTACCACTGGTTGAAAAGCCTTGCTCTAGATATGTAGGATTACAAATGTTCCATAACTTCCACAAACTTGTTGTAGGAATTGTAGTTCTACAGATCTGAATGCCAAACTGGGGAAGACTACTATATTTTCTGGGCTGTCCTTAATTTCCTGGCTACCCTGTTCTGTATCCTAGGAACAGCACAGTTAACAAATGCCTTTTTCAGTCTTCCTTGTCTTGTCACATGAATCAATTGTTCCAAATGCTTCAGCCTGAGAATGTTGAGAAACTATTGGAAGAGCGATAACCTCTCATCTGTTTGCTTCATCTTTGCCCCATGGCATTCTAGGACCAATTATATGACCTAATAGCCATGATGTATCAACCTTAGGTATGATTAGTCAGGTCTTGTGAACAGGATCACCTTTACGGGGAGAGGATGGTAGTTAAGGACATTTAGATCAGGACTGAAGCAGGGGGAAAGACAAATTTAGCCCCCTTCTCATTGAATAACTGTGAACTATCCCATGGGGTGAAATACATACTGTAAGTATTACATGGATTAATGACAGTGGGAATCATTCATCACTTTGAATTTATAAACAGTCCTAATTTAGTGCCCATATTTGGGACTAGCAACTTAATTTTGAAGCCTAGCAGTCCCTAAGTGAAACTGTGCTGGTGATCTTACTTCAGCTTTCCTTTGCTTTACTGACCTGCAAAGGTTCTAAATGTGAGAATTGGTCACAAAGTTACTTTTTCATCATTGTTGTAACTGTGTATGATCGCTAAACAAGGCAGTCACTAAACAACAGCTATCTTGCTAATTCTTTAAAATCATCATTAATTGTTAGTTTCTTTGCATATTTGCAATATGACTCAATGCTGATATTCTTATTTAAAATTTATCTGAAGGGACTTCCTGTTTCATATCATCAAAATACTGCTCTAATTGAGCTAATTTGGATAGTAGGGGGACAGTTTTTAAGAGCCTAGGGATAGCATCTAGCCTATAAGACAAGTTCCAGGAAATGTGATGCTTGCTATTTTTGTTCATTTAGCATTCCAATATATCTGAAAAAGTTGTCTAAAATGCCTATTTAACTTTGTTAATTTTTTCCCCATTCAATTCTCTATAGGATCATTGAAAAATAAAATGGAATATATGCTGTTTTATACTACTTAAATCCATAGATCCCATAAAATATAAGAAACTGAAACGTAAGACGTTTCAGTTTTGTAATAGGGTATACCAGGCTACATAAATAACAACTGGGAATAAAAAAAGATGACAATTTATAGTAGGCAAGCTGGTGCCATCCAATGTTTCAGTTCTCAGCTTCAGCCACTGGCAGAAAACTGTAGGTTTTGTAGCCAGTACTATTTAGAAAAACTGTACTTTCACCTTCTGGGGAAAACCATTAGTATAAGAACCTTCCTATCTTCCTTTAGCTGTTTGCTTGGCAAAAATCAGTGCTCTGGCATTGATCTTTTTCACTTATTTTTAATTGTTTCTGAAGCTCTTGAAGCTTGAGGAGCAAGATAAAGAGACCAGAATGTTTGTTTGTTTTAAAAAAACAACCACCTGGTTTAAAACTTCTCTTCACTCAAACTGTGCGGGTCACATCATGATTTTCCTATTTCTATCTCCATTGTTGAATATCATGTAGCTGAAATAGCATCATTCATATGCAAAAGGGAGACATTAGCAAGCTTGGGGACTTTCCAAAGTTCACTAGGAGTGCCAGAAAATGAAGAAGAGAAGAATAAGAATGGTAGGAGGGGCAGAACATCCAAAATTAGTTCAAGGAAGACTGAGTTTGTTCAGTGGCCGTGCCATGTAGGCTGATTATTGGAGAACATCTGGAAAATTTAAGGAGTATCCTTCAAAAAATCATGACTAGTTGGTTGATGAGATAGGTATCTGGATAACATGACTTTTGATATCAGGTACTTCTTATTTCATCTACGGTGAACAAGGAAGCTGTGCTTCTTTCCTCATTGGGTATGCTTTTTGTCAGATGCCACTTGGAAAACTTTCCTAAACAAATTATACAGTGGCCATAAACATGTTTCCTCTTATTCCAGGTACCAATCATCATACCAATCATTTTTCTGATGATATCCATCTACCTGGTACTGACACCCATCATTGACCAGCCACAGCTTGAGTTCTTCTATGTTATACTCTTCATCCTCAGTGGTATCATATTTTACTTCCCCTTGGTTCATTACAAGTATTGCCCTGCCTGCCTACGAAAATTAACTGTTTATATGCAGATTTTAATGGAAGTTGCAGCAACTGAAAAGGACATGAAGTGAATTCATATTCATAAAGTTGCCTTGGCAAATGTTCTAATTATCTGTATAGTTCTGATCTGTACAGAGACGAGGGTACAGCTTTTCCTGATCATATTTCAGAAACATTTTGAAAATGGATCACAATTGTTCCTATCTCTATCTAATTGGGGGTAGGAGGAGAAAGAGAGGAAGTTGTCAGAATGCTCTTTTTATATTTATTGTTTGATTTGCTTTTTAAATTTCTTTCTTAAAATTTTTTATACATACACATTTTTTCTTTTTGATTTTGTTGCTTGAATATCTTACTTTAACTAATAAAAAAGAAAAGAGGTTAAAAAAAATCAATACATTTTTAGATTGCTTCCTTTTCAACAAGAAATAATGTATAGAAATGACCATATTGCATTTATGTTGTTGGAAATGCAGTGAAATTATCACTTTATTTAAACATTCTGTCTTGTTCCATTTTGGTAAGAACCGATTACGTATATTAACTCAGCTTGAGATTTATCTCAGTCATGGGAATTGACTTTGGACAGAGAAAATAAACACAAAATCAAATGACTTATTGTTCAGCATTGGATCACAAATATATATGAGTTCAACTTTTTAGCAGTTTGAAACATTAATCAATATAACTAGAGCATGGATGGCTGTAATGAATCATGGTTTCAATTTATTAATATATGTTTGTCCACAAATATGCATTTTGTAAGTTTTTTGCTTCCTTTTTAAAAAGTTTTTTTCTTCTTTTACAATTTTGTATATTTTTGTCTGTTTTTGTATTTAGCTAATAAATAGTAAATTAAAATTTTAAAAAAACACTGTTGTTCTTGCCTCATCTTCCTCCAACAGAGAATTATGGATGAATTAGTCAGTGATTCTTCCAAACACACAATAGGGAGAACTAAAATAATCCTTCCTCCTTTCCATCCAGCTTTTGGTTCCTTTTGCACTGGTTTCCTTAGCAACTTCAAAACAACGAGATTGGTACTTGTAATGAGAGGCTTTAAAAACTTCCCTCTACTATTTTAAAAAAGTAGGATGAAATAGCTGTCTGGTCCTTTGATCTTGCCAAGGAGTGCAGGAAATAAGATATAGCTAAGTCAGGCTAGAAAACAATGCCATGTAGGTCAGTGTTCATTTTTAATTGTAAATCTATAGTAACAGAATCTTGCAAGTCTAAATCTGCTTTCCCTCTCCCTCCCTTTACCTTTGTATGAACTAGGGAAGGGATGGACTGAGATGTTTACTCACAATACTTTCTTGGCCTTGGCTCAGACCCCCCTTTTATCTGGAGCTGTGGTGGAACAGTGGTTAAAATACAGTACTGCAGGCTAATTCACTGCTCATTGCCAGGAGTTCAGTCCTGATTGGCTCAAGGTTGACTCAGCTTTCCATCCTTCTGAGGTCAATAAAATGAGGACCCAGATTGTTGGGGTAATGTGCTGATCCTGTAAACCACTTAGAGAGGGCTGTAAAGCACTGTGAAGCACCATATAAGTCTAAGTGCTATTGCTATCTGAAGGTTGTCTTGGCAGAAGCATTTCCTCCTATTCTTCAAGGCCCTTCTCTCTTCCCTCTACAACAGCGTTTCTCAACGTTTGTGTGACGGCGACCCCCGTCACACGAACGTGCTGCGCATGCGCGGTGCCGCCCCCTGAGGGGGGAAAATGGCAGATCGCATTGTTTGGCGACCCCCATAAAATGGTCGATCGACCCCAAATGGGGTCGCGACCCATAGGTTGAGAACCGCTGCTCTACAAGAACAAGGGGTGAAGGCATTGGAAATCTCTTCAACCCAAAGCATCCTGCAAATCTTTCCTCAGTGGTTTGTATCATAGCAATGGAAACAACAATGGCAATGGTGGGCTTTAGCCGGTTCACACCAGTTTGGCAGAACTGGTAGGTAATTTGTTTGTTGCCCAGGTCCAGAACGGATGTCTGGAAGCTGCATCAACACAGAGAACCTGTTGTTCACATATTTGAATCCCACCACTGAACAGTGGGTAATTATAAAATTGCGAATCCATTCCTAGTGTAGTTTAATTGCTGCCTGTTACACAAACTTAATATGATACAATAAAAAAGCCTGTGATTTCATTCTTCAGATAACTTTGAGTATTTTGAAAGTATTTTTTCAAACATCTAGAATGAATGTTATCTGTAAATATGCTATAAATATGACCGCTGGCATTCAATAAAGCTCTAACCCAGGAAGAGGTTTATATAGTGCTAGCTCAAATCCAGGATCAGGGGGAGATTTGTAATAAAATGTAATTGTGCTGTATTTTTCTATTAAGGAAGATTAATGTATCACCATAGAAACTGGATTTCTGCAATCTCGTCAAGAGCTTGGAGCATTTCATACAAAAATAATGAAATATATATTTCAGAACTTTTAAAATATTTATATAAGAAAGAATGCATAAGAGTCAATTAAAAATAATGCTTTAAATGGATATTAGCAATAGAGGATTTTGAATGAATTTATGACAGCTTACATGCTGGTCTTTCAGATGGAAGATGGGAAATTTTGAACTGGAAACCAGATACAGTATGTCCTAGGACGTTATATCCTATTAATATTCCCCTTCAGCACCAAATATAACAATCTCAAACAGTCATCTTAACTAGCAAAGGCACAATCCATTTTTTTAAAAATGGGCTGCTTATGGATAATATGCTAAAATGTTGTTTAGCCAAGTCTCTCAAATTCTTGATACATTCTGGAGAATGTATCAAACATTCTTATGTTTTTTTCAACCAATAAAGTTTTGCATCAGGTTCACAACATACTGATTTATGATGTCTGGAGTTGTAATTGACCAAAGCCATTGTTGATGGAAACTCTTGTTATTCTATGGCACCCAAAAATCACAAGAAGTCTGCTAGTAACTTTTCAGACTAACAAATCTCAGTAAAAGGCATAAGTTCCCATGAACGACAACTCACCTCATGCAATAGAGCAGTGGTTCTCAACCTTTTTAATGCTGCGACCCCCAACCAGTTGTAAGTCGAGGATGACTCAACCGGTCGTAAGTCGAGGACTAAACCAGTCGTATGTCGAGGACTACCCAACCGGTCGTAAGTCGAGGACTTTCCCTGCCTGGGAGCGCCGCGCATGTGTGGTACTGCCCTCTGCGCCGGCCGAGGTGTAGCTGGCAAGCAGCAGAGACGGAGCAGGCCGACCATCGGCTGGGCCACCAGCTGGCCCAGCCCAAGGGAGATAAGGCACCTGCTGGGCCCCACGCGCACCAGCAACCCTCCCTGCGCCCTCCAGCCTCCCACCTCCCACCCCTGGCCCTCTTTTACTTACATTTTTAGTAGTTGCTCAGCAGGGAGGGGTGGAAGCTTCCAGACAGCTTGCCTTCGCTGCAGACAACTTGCAGCACGGTTTGCAGAATGGGACTTTTGGCGGGTTCAGCAGGGTAGAGACAGCCTGGACAATTCCTATTGGCTTTTGAAAGCCAATAGAATTAGACTCTATTCAAGAGAGTCTATTCTATTGGCTTTCAAAAGCCAATAGAATAAAAGGGAGTAGCACAGCTAAGGAAAAGGGGAAAAAATGGCTGACTGCGTTGTTTGGCGACCCCCGTGAAATGGTCGTTCGACCCCAAATGGGGTCCTCACCCACAGGTTGAGAACCACTGCAATAGAGCAACCAGCCTGATGTAGAATTTAACCTGAAATGTGGCAGGGAAGGAAGGGAAGACAAGGTGTTATGCATGTGAGACAAATTATAAGTAGTTTACATTAAAAACTTGCAGTAATGGGTTAAATAGCCATTATCTTTGTTCAGACTTTTAGAGATAGCCTAAATTCTTTTGATGCACATATGTTCAGCAATCTCTTGCTCAGCTGTACTAGCAAAATTTGTGAAAATCAGCTTCAGATGGGTTGGTTGTCTGCATGTAAATAGACTGTAGGCCTTTCACTCAAGAGTCTGAGAAAATGCATTGTCATTGCCAAGTATGGCTTATAGCTAATGGTGTCCTGAAGCTGGCTTGTACTGGCTTGCAAAAGCTAATTGTTAAACATTTGGAAGTTTTGTGATCTGGTTGAGAGTAGAAGTGAACTCCGACATCTAGTGGTGTGGCAGTGCCAATGGAGCCAGAAGAACCAGTTATGAAACATTTACCAGCACACTACAGTAATAAGCTACTGGTTGTAGCTTATTAATAACGCATCACATTGGCTTGAACTGTGAGCTACAGATGGCAACCAGTGGAATTCTATTTTCTGCTTCTGTGATGTGTCTTTTAATAAGTCTTGCTTGGGAATTAATCTGACTGTTGATTTGTCTATTGTTCTTGATAAATAAGTAGTTCAGTCTCCTAATTGTCTGGTTTAATCCTATGAGTTGAGTTTCTCTGTCAAGTAGATCAGAACAAATGTGGTTGTGCAGGTAGTCCTTACTTAAATGTTCGAAGTTACAGTGCCACTGAACAAGTGGTACTGATGACAGGTTCTCAAAATTTGGCTGTCCCAGCAGCCCCTATAGTCACATGATCATGATCTGGGTGCTTGGCAACTGGCACACACTTACAATGGTTGCAGCATCCCATGGTCCTGTGATCACCATTTATGACTTTCTCTGCCAGCTTTCCACAAGCAAGTCAATGGGAAAGCCAGCAGAAAAAGTTATAAGTCACTCAGGGAGATCACTGGCACTTCTCCCCCACCTGGCAGCAGCCACTCCCAGCTCCACTGTACTTGTGCCAAGCTCTATGAGTCACCTTTGCACCCCATACAGCAATAGCCATTGCCAGCCTGGTCTTGCTTGCTAAAAAGATGTAATGTTCTATCTTTTTAAATGTATTGAAGAAAAACTCATCTGGCAACCTGTAGGCTTGTAATTTCAAAGGTTTTTCAATCTTAAAGAGGCAATAAAAAAGTAAAGATCAGGTTTGGCCAACCCTTGAATCCATAAAAGGCTGCATGTATGGCTCATGGCCGATTCTGTGTGCTACTCCTTCTCCCAATAACATGAGAATGAGGTTTTCTGAACCACCACAAGGACAGGGCTCTTGCCATTCTCCAATAGCATGTTCATTCTCACGAGACCTGGGAAAGACTAGAAGGTTTCTGAAGGATCATGAGAATGGGGCAAGTGGCCTGAAAAGGAATGGGGTACATGGCTTGGAGAAACAATGGGCACAAGGCAGCTTGTAGAAGGGCACAAGGCACTGAAGGTTAGCAGGGAGCAGCAGAGCCTGTGGCAGGGTGCTGATGTGACTGTGTGGGGCATGGATGGCATTTCTTAGTGGCAGCAGTGGCATTGGGGCTGAAGTAGAGGCCTTGGGATGGGGCAGCTGGCACAGCCCTGGATGCTGCCCAGAAAGACTCAGCTATTCCACCCATCTAGCAGCATTTCCCCCTTCTGTGTCCCCATGATTTGACCATTGAGCGCTGCTGTGCAGGGTGGTCTAAAAGGGATAAATTAGGGGGAGATAGTAGGTGGGGGGAGTTGAGGCACTCCTGCAGTTTTAAGTGTTGCTGGGCTTGGTGGAATGGATGAAGCTTTCTGGGTCACTGCAGCTTTGTGCCTTGCTGCTACTGATAGACAAGACTTAGGCAGCTGAGGATTCCAGGGGAGGCTGTGGCTTTACACCACACTGCAACATCTCCCCAACTCACATGTGGTTTGTGCTGGGACTCCCAGGGCCTCACCTACCCCCCCCTTCTTACCTGGAAGTCCTTGTGCTTAACAACC